GCTCAGCGGGCCACGGTAAAATTATCAAAGGCTGACTGGTCCGCAGCGATAAAAAGGTTGGGGACCACTGATCTAGAGTTCTCTGTGAGCCTTCTGATTCTTTTGGCATAAGTGACTCCAGTACTCAAGCCAGGAAAATAATTGATCAGAAGTCAATTGACTTAAAAGGACCGGATGAAAAGGCCTAGAAACTAAAGCAATAAAGTGTCTGTTTCTATATCTATCATATGATTCTTGTATTCTACGATAGATAAATGTGTTATCTGTTACAATTATTCTGCAATAAAGCAACTTAAAGTAAGTAGCCATATCAAATCTTTGAAGCTTCTATAGACAACTAGTCACTAAAAGTGATTGAATTCCTGGAGGGGCAACATTTATTGCTGTAGTTGGTGTGAAGTCTGATACTCCTAGTCTTTTACATGAAAAAAATTTCAGACAAAAAAAAACACGGTTGTGGAAGATTATACGAAGATTTGGGCTGAGTTGCCAGTACAGTAGAACCTCTGGTTACGACCATAATTCGTTCCATAACTTTGGTTGCAAACACTTTGGTCATGAGCCGAATGTAATTTTGGAAATTTGGCACTTACAAAAAAATGATGCGGAAGGGGAAATTGGCTGTGGGGAAAAAAAAGTATGACTTTTTTGGTCAGAACCATATTTGATTGTGGTCAGAAGCATTTGTGACCAGAGGTTCTACTGTACTAGGCTGATTACTTTAGCTCTTGTTTATTCCATATCTAGATGAAGGATCAATGCTTTTTAATGAAAGGAATTACACAGATTGTTCTCAACGTACAGCAGTTCCCTTAGTTTACTTTCAAAGTTACATTGGCACTGAAAAAAGTGACTGTTTTTCACACTTACGACTATTACAGCATCCCCATGGTCGGGTGATCAAAATTTGGATGTTTGGCAATTGGCAATTATTTATAATGGTTGCAGTTTCCCAGGGTCATGTGATCACCTTTTGCCACCTTTTGCCAAGCAAAGTCGATAAGGACGCCATATTCATATTACCAGCTGTATCACTAACTTAACAACTGCAATGATTCACTTAACAACTGTGGTAAGAAGAGTCATAAAATGGGACAAAACTCACTTAATAATTATCTCATTTAGCAACATAAATTTGGGGCTCAATTGTGGTCGTAAGTTGATGACTACCTGAAACTTCAGCTGAACCCTGATAAAGCAGAATCCTGATAATAGAACCGGTGCTGTCAGTGGATGAACTTCAAACTTGATGAAAAAACAGATCAGCCAATCTCATACTTACCAGATGTGTTGGATCAATTCTTATAGCTTTGGATGGGCATTAATCAAGTTGTATCCAACACTTATGGAGTGCAGCAGCGCAGAGGAGGCTAAAAGAGTAACTAAGCTGCCTAGTTCAATACTGAAATGAACAAAAATAGACTAACTCAATATCAACTTGGTATATGTCCACAAAGGGTAAAGGGGTGAATGGGTGGGTGGATTGTTTACCCAGAATAAATGATTGAGCAGAGAACTCTGAGCAAACTTTTACCCAATTCTCCTTCATTATCAGCAGCCACTTCCTCCAGTCTCCAGCACAGATGAAGATTTGCAATTACAGATAGCGCTTACCCTGAGCAAACAAGAGCATGAGAAGGTACCCCGAGCCCAGGTGGTGAAAGGGCACTTTACCTTTCCTCTTCTTGAACTCACATCTCTTCAAATGGGGCAGCTTTCTGTTACCTTCACTTCTTCTTCCTGGCTGTTCTGTCCCCAATGGTCTAGGAATTCTACATGCTCCTAACTTGGCAAAAGCTTTGGAATCTCATTCATTTGCTGAAATTCTGAAATTGTTAAGGTGACCAAAGGCCGTCATATAAATATGAATCAAAATCTTGTATGAGAAATGTGAGAGCCCCAGAACCCAAGAATGGGGGTTATGGGTTCTTTCTCCTAATGGCGAAAATATTAAATATTAGAATTGCTCAAATTTAAGATTTGATCATCAGATCAATCGGGCAAAGTGAAAATGTATAAGCATCTCTCTTTTCCTAATCAAATCCACCCCTGAGCTTTTTTTGTCTGGTGGTAAGTCACGTTGCCAAGCTCAGTGGAAATTATTGCCTCAAAAAGTGTGTGCATACGATTGCTACAATCATAAAGTTTGTGACGTTTTTAGGCAAGAGAATTTGCTAGACCTCTTCCTTCCTATCATCACTCCCTGCTGTGTCCATTTTCTTCTGCCTTCTGATACTTTTCCAATTAATAACTTTAATTTTAATGGTTCTGAAGACTAACCTTATCGAGCAGTTTCTTAACTTAGATTCTATTTGAAAACTAAAAGAGTGATAGCTATGACAAATGCACGTGGTAATATCTGAATGATGATTGTTGCCTTCAGGAAATAATCATTCCACTTTCTGGCACTTGGCTCAGGCATGTGTTCATTCTGATTGCAGGAAGTTAAGGCATGGAAAGGAGAAAATTCATTACTACAAAAGGCACTGGAAGAAAGTAACTTGGGTGTTGAGGAAGTTGAAGAAGATGATAAGGGAAAGAAAACACAGGTATGAAAAACCAATCGCAGGCATGCTATAATGCCAGCTTTGAAGTATGCAAATGTATACTCCTTATGTGCTACCTCTATATGGAATTGCAAACTGTGTAGCTTGGGACTGAAGTTATTGATAGTGATTTTTGCTCAAATCCTCATTGGGCAAATGGTAGATGAGCAAATGCTGACTTCCTGCCATGCCACAAATTTTGCAGACTCTAAGCCCATAATTCTACACAAGTTTATGAAACTTGTTTAAATTATGCCTGCCGTTGTGGTTATATAGAATAACTGGATTCAACCCCAAAGAACTTTAGAAAGGCAAACAATAAAGCCTTTAAATGGAAATTTTTGGAAGCGAGAATGGTTGCAGAAATAAGGATGGTTACACTTTTGCATGAGGAAATACTCTTATGCTTCATGCTTTTTGTTCCATTGGTATTTAGTGTTATTTTACTTCTTTTGTTTTCAATCCACATATACTGTGCTGGCAGAATAAAATGCCAAATATATGGCAGGTGAACATTTTGCTGCTACCTCCGATTTGTTAAGGTGATTATCAGACAATTTTCCTTTCTACAGGTGTATCTATTCTAGATCCAGCCCTATTGTTCATAGTCATTTACTCCTACAAAGTTCAGACTGGCAGTTTCCAGCCTCTGATAAGCCCTAAACTGTTCTTATATTCCCTAGCCTATTCAGCAAGTGATCCTCTGCAGAAGGTTATTTCCAGAAACACCCATTGTTCAGGCATGTTAATATCACCATCATTTCTATTCCACAGGAATTTGAGAGCAGTGTGAACCCATCCCGCTGCAGCCAACCTCACAAGGCTGAGATAACTGCATGAGCCAATCAGTTCTTTCTTCCAGATATTTATTAAGGGAATGCACATAAGTGCTCATAAGTTTAATGCTCATGTTTTGTGCATTTGTCTAATGATTCCCTACTGTCTGACGGTGAACACAGATGATGCCATGAGAACATTTGGGTGCGGCATTGATTCTGGGGCAAGCCATACCCACCAGAATACACACTTTTAAGAGCCAAGGAATCCCAGCAACATGCCAAAGGAGAGCAAGGGGATTGTTCGATTTCTTTGATACGCTGCAAAAATGTCTATATTCTGGCTGGCTGTTGAATTCCTCATATTCCCAAAATGGGAAATAGCCCATTTTTGCTGACAGAGCTGACAGGCACCCCTGACACAAGTGATGTATAGCTGGCCACTCAACCTCGCCACTTGAGATCAAACACAACACTGATGCAGCCCTCAATGAAATCGAGTTTGACACCCCTGCTCTATAGGAACTACGGGACTACAAGCTCTAATACATGGTATTCCTTTGTATCTTTCAAGTCTTCTGTGTTGGAGCTGGCAGACATTTTTGGACCAGCACCAGTCACCTCTACCCATACTTCTGCTGACCCATGGGATATTCCAGGTGGGGGCATTGTTTGATCTGTTGACACAGACTTCTCTCCTTCAGCTCTATCCTTGTCCAGTTCTTGGGACCACAATAGTAAGAAGTTTTGAACCTGTTCTCTTCTTTCTTTTTTCTGTTCTTCCATTCCATTCTAGCTATTGGGTAACTGGGGTCAATGTTAAACCATTGCCTGTTATTGTGTGACTCTGCCTTAAGTTGTGTGTGGTACCTTCTAGGTAATAAAAATACTTCAATTCATTTTTGTAATTTTGTATACATTTTGTAATGTTATGTACATTTATATGCATAAATACAAAATAAGAGTTTTATAAACCTTTATTTAAAAATGAGTTATTATTAAAGTCCTTTTAAGCATCTTAGTAAAAGAGTCTTGAGTATCAACTCTGATCTTAAAAGAAACATAAACCTTTCTGTCTCTATTTACAGTTCAAATGAATTTCCCTCTAAGATTATTTCTGTTGGACCAATATATAGCATCTAGACTTGACTTTCCTCCTTTAGCATGCATTCTTATACATATTTAGGCAGATTTGATCAGTTAAAGCTCATAGAATGAGTCAGCTAAGATTTCTTTCCTCAAATGGCATCTCTAAGGTTGAGTTTACTCATTTATTCAATCTTGACTTCATGAAGTTATCTGCTTCTTAGTCGATTCATTCCCTATTTCTCGGGCAAATCAGATTCCACGTTGATAGACTCTTTTCTGTGTACTTGCTCCTTTCAGATACCAAATCTCCCGTGGAATCAACAGGAACATCATGGGGTCCTTCTGCAGACCCTTGGGTGCCATTACCTTCGGAGGATCCTCTGACTCACTCTTCTGCTGGTCAAGCTTCTTCCAGCCCCTGGAATCTTCCTCCTGTCTCTTCTGCCTCTGATCCATGGGGGATAAAATCATTGCCTTCAGGTATCTCATTGACAGACCCCTGGGGAAAACAGTCACCACCTGCTCCACTCTCTACAAGTGTCACTTCTGCTGCTGATCCTTGGGGAGGTTCTATGGATAATTCCTCTGCCCCTGGTAAGAGAGCCAATGTGGTGGGTTGATTGAGGTGATGGACAAGAAATGGGGAGACACAAGTTCTAGTTTACCCTCAGTCACCTGCCAGACCAACTAGGTAGATCAAGCTAAGAAACCAATGGCATATAGGTCAGGCCTACTTATTTTGTATTGGCAATAGTAAGCAACTATTACAAGTCTTAATGTGCTTGTGGTAGCAGCTCTTCCTCCTTTCCTTCCTCTTGATGCTTTCTTCAGTGGGCAACTTTGAGCAGTCTTTCTCATTGTAGTCTACCTCATAGAGATGTTGTGAGGAAAAATAGGATGAGAGGCACCATTTGTGCCACCTTGAGCTCCTGTATAAAGATATAAATCAATTGCATTATTTTTTTAAAAATCACCTGCGGTTTTTGAGACCGCTCAGTGTGACGAATTAATAGTATCCTTCCCCTAACTTCATAACTGGTGGCCATAAGTTCTCTCTTGCTTTATGTGAGCCATGTAATATGTTTGATTAGTTTGCAAGAGGAATGTGGGATTGTCCCAGTTGAGTTCCTAAGTGGCAAGTTGTGTGACCTTCCTTGCTGTGAATGAAATGAAGGACACCTTTTTAGCTGTCTTCAGAAACAGAGATGAAACCGAGTGTCATGTGGGATTAAGCAAGCTTCTTTCTCTGCTTCCTTTTTACTGTAAGGAGGTCTAGGCTTTGAAGTAAATATAAAAGAAGAGATTCCATCCACAATCTCACTCTCGCTTCTCCAGTTAAGATCCCCAAATTCAACAAACTGGTAACAAACTGGTAGCAGAGGAGGAGGAGAAATATATCTCTTTTTTTCCCTAGTGGAGCACTGGACAATAAATCTGTCTCTGTCCTTAGCTTCCTTTGTGCGCGAAGGATAAACATAAATAACAGTGCTACTGCTTCTGCTGAACTTCCATTCCTTCTCAATGGTGTTAAGGCTGAGATTGAATAAAGCATAGAGAGCCAGTTTGGTTTAGTGGTTAAGGCTAGTAACCAAGACACTGTGAGCTCTAGTCCCGCCTTAAGCATGAAAGCCAATTGGGTGATTTCGGGTTAGTGTTTCAGCCCACAACATCAGGCTTGGGCAACGCAACAATTGGTTAATCCCTGTCACAACCAAGGGATCAACATTTGGTTGATCTGAAAAAGAGGACTGGAAAATATTAGAAAGAAAAAAGAGACAGAGAAGCAAGAGAAGATGGTTAATATATATTTTCCTACTCTTGTAGACAATAGTACATTTGACTTGTTTGCAAAATTACCCGAATCTGTGGACCAACCAGAACATGAAAGTTCTCAGGCCTCGTCTTCTGTGAAAGCCAACAGCTCTGGAGGTAAGCAAGCTCTAATGTAGCCATCCCTGACCTATGTCCTTCCTTGGAAACAATGCCTATTAATCCCAGGCAACATAGCCACCTGATAGGAGCTATTAGGTGCAACATCTGGAAAAGAGAAGTCTGATTATATGTATTCATGGAGAAATGTAATGAGCAAAAATAACTGTGGATGCTGATTCTTCTTGCACATATTGATCTCAGACGTTTGACAGATCTTGCTGACAATAAAGAGCTAAAACCAACTATTACATGGGAAATTGTACTAGCAGAAATATGGAAGTGTTTTATGTACACTTTCTTTTTTGATGTTTTCTTTAACCTTCCCAGTTCAGTTGGAATTTTCTGGGATCTTTCATTTAAACAGGTCCAATCCTTCTTTGAGGTCAGAGAAGGGGGATGGTGTCACAACCAAAAGTAGTTCCATCCTAGTTTTTATTTCACAGGATATCTCCATACTCAGACAAGTATGCAGGAATCAAGTCGTCAGTCACAATTCTCCCTCTCTTAGCTCTTCTCTTCTTTTTTGTGCACCTCTGATGGTTTTTAAAAGCTCCCAGTGATGCATCTGCACGAATGGAATCTCACTACTGCTTGGGGAAAAGGGCCAAGTGGCTATTCCTTGTATAAAGGGAAATGAGATGACTTCAGAAAAAGTTCTGGCAGGACGAGCGCTATATGGATCTTTCCATCAATGCAAGTGCCACATATTTTGAGATAACAGTCAGACAAATTCCTCTGTCTATTTCCTATCAAGCAACCATGTTTAGGCTGTCAGTCATAACAGTTTAATTAATTAATTATTGCAAGGAATTCTGGACAGGCTCCAGTATTTATAAAAATCTGGGGAGTAGATCAATCTCTACATGTTGTTTGCTATATTAGACACTTTGGCAAATGCTTTAGAGCAGAATGACCTAAGGACCTTCCCAAATGAAAAGAAGTGGCCAGAGTCCAATAAGAAATACAATCCATATGAAAAAAAATATAGATTACCATCTATGGGCTGGCATTAAAAGATAGTTTGGACCAGATGGCATTCCACTCAGCTCCTTCTGTTCCTTTTTCAAAATTACATTCTGAAATTATTTTGATAAAGTTTAGAGCATCTGTTTCATAGTGCAATTGAGCTGCTTTTAATTTTTTAAGACTACAACCACATACCTGAACTTAATGTAAATTCTGCAAAAGAGAGATGGAATGGCTGTTTAAATAAAAGTTCTGACTGGAGCTATTTCAATATGAGGACAGAACCAAATATTTTCCAGTTTCCATTTTATAACTCAAACAGATATACAGTAGAATAAGCATTAATGATCATGTCTCCAAGTGTGCATAGGTTGTGTTCTTATTCTTTTTGCTGATCATGCTCATTTTGTATTTAAAAATTATATATTTTAAAAAAGGTAGCAAAATGGACTTTGCCTAGGTGCTTATACTTTTTCTGTCCAAGCCAAAGAATTAACTTTGATTATGAACAAAGAGCGATACAGGATAACATTTTTGTAGAATTAGTTAAGGATAAAATTGATGTATGTATGCCAAGTATATAAATACCCCAGTAGCAATATTTCCATTAAATCCTGAATTATTGGATGGATTTCTGATGATTCCAAAGCCAACTTTATTTGAACCCACTGGACACAGAAGGTTAGTAATTTTGAGTATTAATTGATGTAGTTTAACAATGATAAAACTGAACTATTTCAAGTTTATTATTCTCAGCCCTCTTTTATAGTTATACAATATTGCTTGCTGAAGCGTAGATTTCTTCCTCAAATGGATGGTGGTGAGGAATTGTTTTGTCAACACTGGGACCAATGTGATACAAGTCAAATGGGAAATTTCTGGAAAAAAAATAAGTCTGATAATATCACTTTGATAGCTGCAATTTTGCCAAGCAAGGGTAACGTTAGTGGTTTTTTTTTTTAAGGATCTGTTTTGGGTTTATCAACAGTGGCTCAGAATTTATTTTCCTTAGGTGGCCTACATCTTTGTAAGAACAATTTTCAAGAATCTCTCCCATAGGTCAGAAGTCCTCAAGCATACTTGCACAATTATTGTTAGTCATGATTATCATAATTGTTGGACTTTCCATATTAAATTCTGCTTCTGCCACTTGGTTAAGTTGTTTTGTTAACTGGGAATACCCAGCATGGTGATTGAAGAAAATTTATATGGCTTCAGTAAACATATTAAGGAAAACCCTTTTGGTTTTTAACCTTTACATCACTGTAATAATTAATATTTTCTGCTAATAGTTCAATTATAAACAAGAATGAAAAGACACCCCAGTTTTATTCCTACAATATTAATTAATATTAATTATAAATAACAAATATAGTTGTTTAGTTACAAGTACAAAATTATAATCAGAACTATGGCACATAAAAGTTTGTATGGAAATTTCCATTTCATTATATCAAATATATTAGAAATGTTTATGTGAAACATTGTAACTGAGATATTTATATACTTGGTAAAATAGGTTTAAAGGTCTTCCAATAAAGTCAACTAAATTTTTCTGAGCCACAATTCCAGTTTGATCAGGGGATATAAAAGTGGGGGGGGGAAACCTACTTTAATTTAAACTTATTTGCTAAAAAAGAATGTCTAGAATTAATAAATTTTTTGATATATTGACATTAACAGTTTTGTGATAAAACAATAGCTTGTTCTTACTAGAACAGAATTATGTAAAAGGTTAAAGAACTTTATGTAAAATGTAGATGAAAAGGTAAATAGGAAGGAGACGATAAGAGTGGAGAAATGTAGCAGGTGAATGATATGAAAAAGGAACATTTCCAGTATATTGAAGAGATGACAAAATAAAAGAAGACACTGTTGTGAAATAGTAAAATATCATTTTGTAAATAAACATTGTTTTATTGATATACTGACAAACAGAAACAACTTATCTAATTTTTATTTTTTATAAATAGTTTATTTTCTGAATGAATGATATAATACAATACAGCTACAAACTTATTACATTATCAGAGGAAAAAACACTAAGAGAGGAGATAATCACAGTGTAAGAACTCCCCTGTTCACCATTTTGGAATGGTGCCAATGCAATTTTACATTGAAAAAAAATTTCAATTTCTTTGCCAGCTGCCTAAATCCAGCATGACTCTTTCCCAAGCATGAGTCTTAAAAGAATTTTCTTTAGCAAGATTTATTGAGATGAACGGTAGAGGTTACAGTAATTCCAGCAACTAATCTATTTTCAATTTAGAAAACATATTTCCTCATGTGCACCGTGGCATATGCTGATAACAGTGAAGAGAACTGATGCTTAAAACATTGTGCCCCTTCTGATCCAATAAACTCAATTTTGCCATGGCTCTATTTGAAATCTGCCACTTTAAAAAAAAAACCTAAGCTTTTTAGCTTTGTTTGGGGTTTTGTAAACAAACCATATACTTCAGAAATGGACACACACACAGACGGGGTGGGTGGGTGGGATATCCTTAATATAAATCCAGAATCTATAAATATTCAGAATATATTGTTTATATTATAAAATCATCCTTTTCAGAAATGGCTAAATATATAAACTAATGAAGAAGCAAAAGGAAGTGAGGAGCAAGCAATGGGACTATGTGATCAATAAAGTAAAATCTCTTTTTTCTCTCTCTTTCTCACTGGTAGATGTGGATCTGTTTGGTGACTTTATTCCAAGCACCGCCGAGAATGGAATTCAAAATAAAGATATTTTTGATATTACAAGTTTAGGAGATTCTTTACCTGATTCAAAGGACAACAAAACACCAGAGACCTTTCTTGGCCCCAATGCCTCTTCCTTGGTTAACTTGGATTCCTTGGTTATTGTCCCCCAGAGCGTGAAGTCACGTAATCCATTTCTGGCAGGTAAGTTGCATAGGCAGGACCAACAACATGGGATCTTATACAGAAGTCTAAAGGAACTTTTGTTAGCAGGACAGTTTTGTGTGATTCAATCCTGCACCTAGGCCCTGCCACACCTTTCTTCTTTGTTCCCCTTTTCATTGGACCCATTTCTTCATAGGCTTCAATACTTGCCCAAAAATTCACAATACCCATATTTGCCTTTGGATAAAATAATGGTTGTGGCTTCTGCTTTTGGTTGAGCCTGTTGGTATTTCAGTTCTTGAAACCAAATATCCTTGGAACCTGTTGGAAAATATTACTCTTCGGAAATAGTGATGAGATGCCTTTTCATATATTCCCTATTTGACAGAATAAAGAAAATAGTGGGCTTTCTTTGGAACCTGTCAATTTCTTTTGCAGAATCCCTTGATGATGGGGACAGGGATTAACTTCCTCAATTTCTCACAGTAATTCTTAATGGAAATCAAGACGAGTCATGTTTTTCTTTTCTTTTCTAGGACTCAGTGCCCCTTCACCTACCAATCCGTTTAATGTTGATCAGCCCAAACCAACTCTCAATCAGATGCGGACCAACTCCCCAGTGCCTAGTGTTCCTATGGGGATGCCAATGAACTCTATGACCTACAGTGCTTCTCTCCCTCTTCCGCTCAGTAGCATCCCCTCAACGATAACTCTCCCAGCCTCTGTGAGTGCCTTCCCTCAGGCTGGAGCAGGGCCTTTCCCAGAGCTACCTGGCAACCTGCCTCAACCTCTCCTACCACTCTCTGGCTCGATCCCACCACCATTAGCTTCACAAAGCGGTATGAACCCTTTTCTCTGAAAAGACTTGATTGGTAACATATGATGTATCCCTTACTTCTTTACCAATGGTTATGGAGGATCTCCCGTGCAAAGCACATTTGTTTTGAAGCAAGCATCTCCCTGGAAGTTCTGATCCAAGAGACTCAGCATGAATCTCCTTGCTCAATGAGATATTGTACAAAGAAACAACTGTCCCATCAGGTTGAACATTGCCTATAGTCTGCTGCTGATGGCAGATGACATCGTTTTGATGGATTAAACAGGAGGTTGGAGGGCAGTTCTGCAGAAGGGCATTTCTTTTTCTAAGGATCTCTGCTCTCCTGCTTTTATGTTGGCACAAATAGTTACTAAATTGAACAAAACAAAACAAAACAAAAACTCAAGATTACTTCTTCAATGTGAAGGAAAGAAATTATTTTATAGTTTGCATGGAAATAGACAAATAATTGCCAAGGCTTACAGCTCTACTTCCTGCATGGCAAGGGCACAGTCTCATTCCTGGGAATCTTGACAGCTCAGCAAATTTTGCAATGCCATATGCAAAGGGAGAAGATTTGATTTTTTTTTATTTTTTTTTTTGCTACAGTCACTTTTACTGGGTTGCCTAAAGGAAATCTTCTGTTTCCTGCTATTTCCACTCAGTCACATTTTCATCAATTGTCTTCTAGCACATCTTTTAGTTTGCTTGCGAGTTTTGGATACTCTTAAATTTAGCGAGGGACCAGTATGAAGGTAGGAGCTACATAGAAGGATATAATAATTTTTTTTAAAAAGAGCAATCAATGCACTGTGTGGATACAGTGGCAAGAATGCTGATCCATGAAAGGGATGGACAACAGAGTTATAAACTCCAACTCTCTAGAAATATCTGACCAAACTTTGGCTTCTAAATCAAATGTCTCCCCCATCCCCAACAAAAAATTAGGTCCCAATCCCAGGCATTCCAAATTCTGAAGATGCTGCCACACTTTACATTAAGAGCTGATAGTTCTTCCTGTTCCAATTTGCTACTCTACTATTGTTGTATTAAATCTGACATCACTGCTGTTCTGCTTCTGATAGCTTTGATCCAAAGACTTTTCTTTGTCAACTTCTCCGTATTTATAGAACAACATGATGGATGTTCCGATTTTTGCTTTGGATGGTCCCTTAGTTACATATCTGATCACAGACTTTTGTTTTCTTAGTGCCTGTCTCTCAGTCTCAAATCCAGTCTGCAAAATGGTGGAACTCAGCAACATCAAACCCACTCCAGAACACTTGAATGAACATGAGAAAGCTTGGACTATCTTGCATGGTGGCAAAGGACTTTGTTAATGTGTTTGGGAACTCTATCCATGAGAACCTTAATATTGGGCTTGATGGCCTGGATGCCTTTCATTCAAGCTTAGAGTTGCTTTGAAAACATTTGATATTTGTAAGCTTCTTTCAGTGAGTCTCTCCCCCGCCCAAGGTCTTCTAGGATTATTATTGAATGGATGTGGTATAAACCAGAATGCTAGAATACTGGTGGTAGAGCGTAAGCATCCCAGATACCAGCTGTGTCTTAATTGACAATTTCACTCAGCATGCCAATACAAGTTACATCTGCAGGATATGATGACTGTGGAGCACTGATTCAGCTGCAATGGGAGAGAAATCAGGGCCACCCACGGAGAGCAATCATTGGGGCTTTTTAGCCTGTATGTAAACACAATGCAATCATACCAATACAGATTTTCAACCTATATAAAATAATGGGGGTGATGAGAGAGTAAGAGGCCAATAAAAAGCTCAAATGTACTTGGTAATTTAGAATGTTTTACATGCTCCTTTTAAGTGTTTAGTTATAAGCAAGGGCAGGGGGCACGAGTGAGACTGCAAGAGTAAGCACGAATGTACACAAAACATCAATCCCCTCCCCTATTTACTTCTTTTATTTCTACATATTGCTCCGATTGGAACTGACTTTTGTGCTATCTTTGATCATCGTGTATTCTGAGTTAAAGTAAGAATTTTTGCTTCCATGCTCAAGGAGTAGAGGTTTTTCATCCTGTTTGGCCGATTCTAAAATGTTCAGCATAAACGTCCACCAATGCAGTAGTATTTTAAGAAAGCCACGGTGATGTCAAAATGACATGTGTTCAGTGAAACTGGCTCCCCCATTGACTTTGCTTCTCAGAAAGTTGCAAAAGGTGATCACATGATCTGGGGACGCTGCAACCATCATAAAAGTGAACCAATTGCCAAGCATCCAAATGCTGGTCATGTGACCTTGAGGATGCCGCAAAGGTCATGTGTGAAAAATGGTCGTCACTTTCTTCACTAACGGTGTAACTTCGAACTGTCACTGAATGAACTGCTGTAAGTTGAGGACTACCTGTAGTGTTTGACTCTGTTGTGCTACATAATCAAGGAAGCACTGAAATAATTCCATGGGAATTAGCCTGACAAGAGTGTAAATGGCCTTCATTTACTTGGAGGGAGGTTATTGCTGAAATATTTTTAGTCATCACCATTCAAAGAACTACCAGTCATTACTGACTTTTAACATAGGCTTGCAGAATTCCAGACTACAGAGAGAGAATTCTGGTTTATCCTGTTAGAACAACAATTAACACTTTTATTATAAAGAGAAACTTCTTCCTATGTTAACTTGTTTCTAGCAGCCACAACCTTGAATGGCGAATTACAAATAATATTTGGCAATATCAGACACAGGTTTTCTTCTCTATGTTAGATATGAGCATTACTGGGCTATTTAAGGATAGCTAAAATTGCTGGATGTCGTGACAAATTGTCCGACATAACATATGCAAAATTAATCAATCATCAAGAATGTAATTTATGAACGTACAGTATATGTAAGCCTTTAATAATCATGTTATAGCTAATCTCATCTCAGATGATATTGCTTTTACCAAGAAAAAAAATCACCTATCTTGCAAGTCTAATAACATGTCTGTTATTAAGCTTGCCAGTACTCTAGAAATAATTTGTTTTTCCAGAACCTTAATTGAGAACAAATTTATTGCTTGATAATGAATTTTGATGGAAAAGACATTTTTGTTGATAATCAATCATGACTGTGATATCCACCTAGCTGTTGTGGAAGAATTTGTTTCTTCTGCTCATATGCCCTTTAATTGAATCTATTTTCAAAGTAACTTTTTAATTCGGTATTGTTTCTGGTCCACTTCAGATGTTGAGCATCCCATTTCCTTTTTAAGTCGTTCAGTCATCTGTTTGAGAGTACACATGACCAAATACTGACATGGCCTTTTTGCCTATTTATTTTTGCATTCTCACATTATATTAGAAAGATATTTTCCACCACACCTTGCAAAGGCATCTGCAGTATCCACTTTGTAAACTACGATCTGGATTCCACTTAGATTTACATTTAATGATATGAATTTGATAAGCCCAAATGAACAAATGAAGATGTAATTTATATTTTATAGTTGAGTAAAATATAGCTACTGCATAAAACATGAGCAAAGTGTGTGTGTGTGTGTGTGTATGTGTGTGTGTATTCGGTTCAGTGAACTAGTTTATTCTTTATAATGCTGTGTGACAATATTTCTCAGATTGGCTCTTTGTTAAAGTTTTTATCACAAATGTTATTCAATGAGTGCTATTTTTCAGGAAACTTTCAATTTCAGTCAATAGTGATTTGCAAAGAGCCAAATAAAATCTCCCTCCCTCTCTGCTGGATTGGAAGTTCTTATAATAATTAGCTTGTCTTTTGCCCAGTTGTCAAACATATTCTAAATTCTTTATACCAAGTGGCAGGAAACTTAAATCCAATCATAAGAAGCTGGCTTTACTGTTGTCAGATTTCACATGACAATAAACATCTCCTCCCCAGAAAAGCAATCCCATATTCAGCAACTACCAAACAGAAGAAGCTTCAGACTTGACATAACACAAAAGTCACTTTAATGCAGAGATAAGTAACGCATAAACAAAAGATCTGTCTGCTGGAGAATTCAGCAATCAAACTCTTGTGTGTCAGCCCAAGGTTTAAACTACAGACCTTTTCTTGGTTTTCTTTTGAAGTCAATGGACTTTGGGCCATTCTTTTTCTAGACTGCTACTCTGGAGATACTTGTTTCATATTTATGTGACCCATAAGGTCTGAAAATCATTGGTTCTCAATTGGCAAGAAATGGAAACAGCTTGCCATTGACTTTTATATTAATATGGCATCCCCCCCCCAATGTCCTAGGCAAGCCCACAGTCCTATTATTTCCTAAAAGACTCCCATCCAAGTACTAACTAGATCTGATGCTACTTAACTCCAGAGCCCAATGTTACTTTGGTGCTGCAACCTAGCTGTACAGCTAGATTTCCAAGCCAACACGTTTTTCTATAATGACAATAGGTAAAACCATAAGTGATATGTATTCTGTGTCCATTCTCTGAAACTTCACAAATATTATACAGTAGTTGGTTCTATTGGCATTCCTGCGTTCATAAAAAGAAATAACCTGACTAGTTACTAATGGTTTTTGCTGCCAAAAGACGAGATTTCATCACCAACTCAAATGGCCAAAAAGGTAAAGATTCTGCTGCTCTCATGCCTTGCTTGTGGGCTTTCCAGAGACACTGATATGTCACTGGGAGAACTATGACATTTAATTTTCCTTACATTGCTTCAGTGATACCAATTTGCAAAATCTTGAACTCGGAAGACACATTGAAATATAATTCCAATGGTCATGTGCTTTGGAAAGTATGGTCTGCCATATCTGAGAGACATTAAGAGCAAAGTTTTGCTGTACATAAGGAAGAGATGCTCATTCTGTTAAAAACTGGCAAAGAAATTTTATCAAGTGTTTTCAGAGTGTTAATAGCCATTTCTCCAGCCACGGTGTTTTCCTTTCCCACCCACTCTACTAAAAACATTATTTTGACTCATTTAAAAAAAAAATCTGTTTGAACCCAGCTTTTAGCAAAATTCTAGTTATCTTACAGAGAAAAAATGTATTAAAACTAATTGTAAAAAGCTGCCTAAATAAAATGAATTTATACCTATACAAATCAGCTGCCTCAGTATCTTAAACCTGCTGTCTCATGTCCACAAAGAATAAGCTATTAAATATAATGGTGCATTTTGAAGCAGACATGCACGTCAGTCATTTCAGCAATCGTAGCTCTTTACTGGCTGAATTCTGGATCTGAAGCAATAGCAGAAGTTGACTGCCATATTTCAAATCATTCATTCCAGAGCAGACATAAATTAAAGGCTTATAAAATCTGAAACAAAACGTGCATGAAAAGTGGATTGGGAAGGGCAAACTTGCAGGCCCCCAAAAGCTGCTTCAGTGCAACTTTCAACATCCCTCATTACTGTGTAGCTGGCCATCAGAAAGTTCTGGAAGGATCTTGTTTTTCCATTACAGTTTAGTCATTCAAGGGAAGCCAGTGCAGTCCAGCAGAACATACTTCTAAATAAAAGCAAAGATTTCTACTTCACCCAAACTACATCTCAACAGTTTAGTCAGGAACAATAATCATGCAATTTATGTCCCTTAATCAAAAAGTTACTACCGTAATTTATTTTCATGGTTATCTTTCTGAAATAGTTTTTCTTAGCTGTAGAAGTAGGAAATCAATGTTCAAAAATTAAGAAGGTACAGAGCCAAATTTTAAATTACATAATTTTTCATAACATCATCTCTTGTACAATGAATATTTGAAATTTATTTAAGAAAATTTATATGGCTGACAAAAGCACTCACATTGGCTCCAGGAAGCTTACAAAGATAAAAATCCAATATAAAAACTATTAAAAAGGAATAACCTTCCCATCTCTTCCGTCGACCACAGTCAAATGAGCCATTTGAAGAGCTCTAGCCCACGGACCCACTGGCAAAATCAGATCTTTAAGGATTTGCGAAAGAGTATCAAAATGGGGCCCAATCTTATCTTCATAGGGATGATGTTCCACATGGAGACAGTCATCATAAATAAGGCCCTTCTTGGTCCTGCTAGAATGGATCTCCTTAGGAGAGGGGATTCATAGCATTCCCTGCCTCCCTGCTCTGGTGGGTTAGGTAGCTGTGAGGGGAAAAAGAAAATCCTTCAAGTAACTTGATCCCAAGCCATGTAGGAATTTGAAGATGCCATGAGCCCTCTTCCAACTGCATCAATTTTCAAGCATTCTATGAGAATCTCATTTTGGTTTTAATGTAGTGGACTGATTACATCACTAGAAATTGTTTCTGAGTATGCCTTCTTTTCTTTTAGATTTTAACCTGAAGTTTAAACCTAAGTGTATTTATATAAAGAAACCAATTAGGGACTTGAACTTGATAAGATCAGCAGGCAGCTGAGTTTTGTGGTTTCTGTTTCTATAATTGCTGAGTCAAAAAGCAATAGCTTTTCCAGCTGGAATGAAAGGCAATATATTGGTTGAGCTCACACATCATACCCATGTTTTAAGAAAAGCTCACAATAACTGGGTCTACACACATTTGAAACTAATGGATTAATGCAACTCAATCTGTATATTGAATCTGGACAAGGAGAAACACCACAGCTCAGTAATAGCTTTCCAGTACGACCATTGACTTACTTGAAAGGTCTTTTTATGTGCGCTGTGAGGGGAATCCAAGCATGGGTTAACTTTGTCCATTAGCCTAGAGTTATGTAAATGTTGACCACGCCTCCTCTGACTGGATGGGTCAGTTTTGTACAAAGTCAGCCGTTGAAAGATGTGTGGCAATGTCACTTATGGCCATGGCCAAGAACAAGGTATTAACAGTCATGTCCAGAATAAGTTAAGTCATTAAGCAGAGCAAGGTCAGTCATCGAGTCAGAGTCTCGAGATAGCCCTGGCCAGCCGAAACTGCGGGTGGGTTTGGATTCCCCTCGCAGCGCACATAGAAGGACAGTTCAGGTAAGTCAATGGTCGTTCTCCTGTGCACTGCGAGGGGAATCCAAGCATGGGACATGCCAAAGCAATTAAGAGTCAGGGCAGGAGCTAGGCTGGCCAGGGTCCTCCAGAGAAGAGAGTACCCTTTGCAACACTCACCACCCAAAGGAGGCCTCAGCCGAGGCATACAGGTCAACCTTGTAATGTGTAATAAATGGTGATGGCGACGACCAGGTAGCTGCCCTGCAAATCTCTTCCACTGAGGCTTGCGTAGCCCAGGCCGCTGTGGTAGCCGCACTCCTGGTAGAATGAGGAGTAATGCGCCTGGGAACCAGTCAGGAGTGGCT